ATTAAAACAGTTTTCAACCACAGAGCGAATTTTAGGTAACTTTTTATCGGCCCATCAGGTTTTTTAACATGAAGTCAGCTAAAACAAAATCATGTTGATCATGGTGAGTTTGAAGGACCGAATTTGAGCTAGTAACAACTCATGGGTGTTCAATATATATATATATAATATATAGTTATTATATAGAGAGAGAGAGAGGGATAGATTTTAGATGAAATAGAACATAGATTAAAAGATTCGTCTGGATTTTTAAAATTATCCTGAAAAAAAATCTATCCAATTTTTTTTATGTTAGCTCTATTTTACATTTTTTAAGGCTTTTCAAAAAGAACAGTTTATATTTAAATACGATATATATATATATATATATATATATATATATATATATATTTTCATTAAAATATATATATAAATATATAGGTTAAATAAATTAATGCATGTTTCATTTAAAAAATACAGACAAGTTTTTTTTTTTATTTATTTTAAGTAAGTTCCTTTCATATTGTCTGATACAAATTAATTATTCCATTATCATTGAAAGACGAAAAAAATCACCATATTGATACATTTTAAATTCAATTACGATATTTATTTTTAGATAAAAACACAGTGACTGAGAGAATCGATTCAAGGAACGAATAGTCTTGAATATTATCATAATAGTCAGAGAAACCATCAGAACTCCCCAGAGAGCTCAACTGAAATAAATTTTTAGGACCATATATATTGTTATCCACAGATAGACAGTTTCGCTGTATCACAGCTCATCAGCGTGGCTGGACGTCCGGTTGCCGCTACCTAGGATCGAAACCCGGCTGATTTGGATTCTACCACTAAGCCGTTGGCGATGTTATGAAATGGATTAAGTCCGACAGGTATTTAATACATTTTTTGTTTATACGTTATATTTCTAGATATAAATTATTTAAGTAAATGCTGTTATTTTTTTTTTTAATAGAGAGTATTAATTACATTTACCGGACAGGATGTTCGACAAATTTCGTAGAAGATATGTGTTCTCCAACAGGATTCGAACCTTTTACTATTTTGGGGAACCGTCATGAGATCTGACAAATATATACAAATGCTAAGCATTTTCTTTTCTAAAATTTCTTGAACGTGATAAACGTAATAAGAACAGTTTAATAAATAAAGATAAGGCGTCTATTTCTAATACGAAGTGCCCACTATAATAACATTTATCCATTCATCCATTACAATCATTTGGAACAACTTACCATACGAGGAAATCTACACATGCATGCAATCTAGAAATATCTCCAAGATATTACTTCATCTTGAGAAGAAGTTTCACGCAGAGAATTCTGCGGACTATTTTGATGAGTGCTTGTTTTATGGATAACTTATGTATAGCTGTGTGTGTGTTTATATAATATATATATATATATATATATATATATATATATATATATATATATATATATTGTTTTTCTTGTTTTTTCCTTTTCCTTCTATCTATCTATCTATCTCTCTATCTATCTATCTATCTATCTATCTATCTCATCCTCATATATATATATTGGAATCTCTCCCTCTTTTCTTTGTTTCTAATGACGTTTTTTTCTGTTTCTCAGCACCTTACTAACATTTGAAATATATTAATTTAGCTATATTCCAATTTCTGTTCGGTTCACGATGTCGTATTTTCCATCCTCTGTTAAAACGGTTCACGGATATCTTAACTTCTGCACTTGCTTGATGTTTATGTCTCTCCCATTCGCAACTTAAGCTTTTTACGCCGCCGACATCTTGTAGAAACTTGTCCACCATCACGTGATAACTTTAGCTTGAAACTAAATCACGTAATTATTGGATGATGTGGGATGTGAAATTTCTCATGCATATATTGGATCGATATTCAAATGCTTTCGCCTCTGCAATGAGTATATGTCTTTCAACAAAATCGGAACGTGGTGATTCGATAATTCGCAGCTATGATAATTCAATGTTCAGGAAGGGGTCCTTGATAGATTGCAAGCGAAGAAATTCCATCAAACACGCCGTAAGAAAGCGTGTGTCTTTAAATGGATATCGTGTATCCAATTCTAAATCTCAAAACCCAAGAATTCAATAGAATTACATCCGGATTGTCTTGGATTCAATGTTTAGATTTAATTTTCTTCCCAGTTTTTTGTTTTTTTGTTTTTGTTTTTCGTTGGTCTTCATCACCAGCTCCGGTAAATAAAGTAAACCGGAAGTGAAGACAAGATTTGAACTGACAAGTTTCCATTTTATGATGGATACGATCTCTGATTACTGAATTATACTCTGAGATGACAAATACAGTGGGATCCCAGAAGTCACCTATGGATTTAAAGATTTAGTAATGTCAACAATTTTACTTCGGTACCTCCACGAAATGTAAACAAAAGAGCATAGCATGATGAAAAAGACGCCGAACTTGACGAAAACAAAATTTTATCGTCTAATGTTCATATTATTATTAAAGAGGAAAGATCAAAGTATTTTTGGGGTATTTTTTTACATACATTTTTAATCGTTCCTAGCACGTCTGAAATTTTCGTTAAAAATATTGTTTTTTTTGGAAAAAAATGGACAGATAATCCATCATTTTCAATCATTTTTTTCCATTTTAAAAAAAAAGATGAAAATCTGATTTTGATATTCTTTTAAAAATCAATTATCATTTTTTCAAAACTTATTTTAATAAAATCAGAAATTATAATGTTTATTTAAAAATATTTTGAACCAAGCTTAACTTAGCTTCTGCGCCGAAAAAATGTAATTTGAAAAAAAAAAACAAAGCAGGTCATAAACTTTCGCGTCATTTGACAGATTGACGAAAAGACACATTCATGACGTTTAGATAACTTACGGGAGGATAATTCTTTCTACGGATGGAAGGACCATTAAAATTATTTAAGTGAACAAATTATTTACCTCGTTACTTTTTAAGGAAAACTTTCAGCGCTCTAATTTTTTTTTTTTTTTTTTTTTTTTTTAGCTTTTATTTCATTTTACGTTTACGATGCTTTATGGAAAATATAAAGAAATTAAAAAATAAGACTGTTAATAGTGAAAAATTTCTAAGAAAAAATCTAATTAATTATAGGTACGTTTCTTATGAAATTTTATCAGAAGTGTACATAAAATACTATAATTTTATGTACATTTATTACATTTTACTGTGTTATTTGTATTTCCATTCATTTTATTATTAATTTTGATATTTCATTTTATGGAAAAAATGTCATAACTGAGATTAATATAAAAATAAGATCATATAAATTAAAGTTTAGCAGTAGTTAAATTTCATGAGATGATACTGATTCTTAGGTACCCTTCTCAGTTGAAATTGAAAACTCAAATTAACTTCTCCATACGTGTAATGCAAAAAGTAAAAGGCCTTAACAGCGGAAGAACAATGCTGAATTCAAATAATGCAACTAAATTGTATTCTGGTTGGTCTTCCGTACTTTATAATTACTGTCCGATTATAAACACAAAAATTACATTTCTTAATTACCATGGATCTTCTGATTGGTCCAAATGATACAATTTTCAAAGCGCTAGACAATGACAATCTCATTAAAGACTGCATAGAAAGGTTGATGTTGTCTTAAAACAAAATAAACCATTATTTTTAAACCAAAATTTTAAATATTTTTTAAAAAAAAAATTAAAAAAAAAAAATGTATTCGGGTTAAAAATTTTCATTAAAAATTTTTTTGTTAAACAAAATAAACCATATTCCAAAAAAAAAATTAAAACAAAAAAATTCATTTGAAATTATTTAATAATTTGTTTTTTGATTTTAAAAAAAAACATTAAAAAATTGTTAAACAAAATAAACCAAACCAATCTAAACCGAAAAATACAAATTCTATTTTATTTGCATTCTTAAAATTGTACCTTTTAAACCATTGAGATTGATACTAAAATAAATGGTCCAATCTAAACCAAAGAATACATTTCTATAAAAACACGAATCTATTTTAATAAATTAAATAAAAAATTTATTTTGATATGACTTTAAAAAAAAAAATTTAAACCATTTTAAATCAAAACGAACTGAATATTCTATTCATTGAAATCTATCATTAAAATTTTCGGCATTAAATTTTTTTTTTAGGTTGAAATTTTGTTAAAAAAAAAAAAACCAAACCAATCTAAACCGAAAGAATACATATTCTATTCATTTTTGTTGCTAAGAATGTTGAAACAAGGTTTTTAAAATCAAAATTTGAATATTCTAAAAAAAAAAAATAAACCAAACCAAAAAAAAAATATTTTTTTCTGGATGAAAATTAAAATTCTGCAAATTTTTCTCTATTTAATGATTTAAATACCACCCATTTTCAATTTCATAGAGACGCGCTCTTTTGATAGTAATCCCCAGGGATTACTCAGGGTTTAATAACACTGGCTTAAGATATCAAATTTGTGCGATGATGTTATTCTTGAAATTTCTGAATTCTGCGTGATTACATTTAGTTTATCAAGTTTTACTAAATGCGGAGAAATTTTTATACAAAATAAATTTTTTTATTTACCTATTAAATTAATCGGGGCGTCTACGATTTAAATTTAAATTGAAATTTGAAAATAACGAAATTAACAGGAAGACACTGATTTGAGAAAATTTTTTTTTTGTTTTTAATTTGAATGGAAAAGAGAAAGACACTTTTTTTAATATTACAGAGGATAGCACTAAATACCAGATGAGTTTGGCTCATAGACTTAAATAATTTACGATTAAAGTTCATGGGTTGATTAATAAGTTGATAAATAAGTTGATACGAAGCTGATAAATATTCGGACTGATCTTACTTCGTTTGGCTATAACAGCATTTGACCCTCATCTATTCCTTTTTAAGTTGTCTTGTTAATTGTTTATGCAACTCTTTTATTGTTCTGTGATCAATTATGTATCCGTTATAAGCATCCTAATTGCTGAATAAATATATTAAAACTATTCTTCTCTTTTGTGTCATTCAACTCGAATACAACCTTAACATTTAGATAGATAGATAGATAAGATAATAATAATATATATAGATAGATAGATAGATAGAAAACAGACAGAACGACAGACACTTATTGTTTATGATATAGATAAAAAAGAAAGATACAAAGAGAGAGAGGGAAGAAACTAATGAGATAGATAGATAGATAGAGAGACAGAGACAGAGAGAGAGAGAAAGAAAGAAACTGATAGATAGATAGATAGATAGATAGATTGAAAGCGAGAGAAAGAAAAAGAAACCAATGAGATAGATAGACAGATTGAGAGAGAGAGAGAGTTTTTTCAATAAAAAGATATATATATATATATATATATATATATATATATAGATAGATAGATAGATAGATAGATAGATAGAATCCAAAAAAAAAAAATGAAACAGATCAATAGATAGATAGATAGATAGATAGATAGATACCGAATTTAGATAGATATATAAATAGATAGATTGAAAGAGAGAATAAAAAGAAACCAATGAGATAGATAGGCAGAGAAATTTTAAGAGAGACTTAAAATTGAAATAATGAAATAAATATAATAGATAGATTAAATATCTAAATAGATAGATTTTAAAATTTAGATTTGTTTTATAAAATCTCTTATACATAGATATTTTAAAAAGAATTAATCAAAAAAAAATGGAATTGTTTTTGTGAAATTATGTTCCTGTTTGAATAAGATAAAATAATCTCATCGTCTCATGAGATTTGTTCTCTAAAAGACCTTTCGGCAAAGAATATTAGTCTGAAAATTGAACAGCAAAACTAGAATTCACTCAATGAAGTTCAAGCAAGTTCAAGAGTTTATTAATCTTTGCTTTTAAGGGCATAGTTTTCGATAAAGATATCGTTTATGGCGAACATGTATATTTGATGTATTTAATATAGAAACTAAATTGATATTTAATCAAATGAAAATATAATACAATATCTACCTATCTTTTTATATTATATCTATCTATAAATTGGTTTATTTCTATCTAATAAATTTTCATATATTAATAAATATATATATATATATATTATATAATATATATGTGTGTGTGTGTGTGTGTGTGTGTTTGTGTGAATGTGTGTGTGTGAACAAGTTTCAAGACTTAAAAGGCGACACTATTTGTCATTCATGCTAGTGGCAATCGTGGCCTGACGATTACGTGTATAGCAATGAAACAGGCTGTCATCCGCAGAAATAAATTTCTATGTTCGAATTTTAAATTTAAAACGCTCTATCTAAATATTGAGCACTTTATTATTAAAAATAGCACATCTTAAATATATATTTCTTCATATATATATTTTTGGCGTCTAAAAGGTGCTAAATAGGATACCTAAAGTAAAATGGAAAATTATAAACAGGGCTAGAACATGTAAAACTTGGGATGACCCATGCCCTTTGTGCCTCCATGAAAAAATTGCACATTATTAAGCTTCTAAATAATAATAATCTATTAAACAATAGACATGAGTTAACGGTTTTTTGTCGACATCATCAGATTCATGGTTTGAATAATTAGCTAAAAAACAATACAATATAATAACTTGATTAATCCATAGCCCAATCATCAGATTCATGGTTTAAATAATTAGCTAAAAACAAGCATACAATATAATAACTTTCATAATCCATAGCCCAAATAAATAGTTTAAATACCCTAAAAAAAGATAACCCTTTATGAAGTCGTCAAAAACAAACGTTACGGCAGTTTTTTTTATATGCACAAATCCCTTTCATAAAAAAAAAAAAAAAATAAATAAATAAATCTCCATAGACACGCATACGAGACTAGGGTTAATACATCTTCCGTTTCAAATCCCTGACTTGACATCTATGAAAGTAACTCTATACTGATACTTATTATTAATACCCAACACACGCCTACCCAATTTAAACAATTCACCCTAGCTGTTACCATGGAAATTTTGATTTCAATTATTAAAACACGTAAATTTCAGAAATACGTTATTCAAAAAAAATTTCGCTTGAAGATGGAACAGAGCTTACTTTAACTCAATTTAATTCAAATAATTATATTGAAGTTTTCGGCTCTTGTTTTGAAACATGAGACCTCTTATGTCGCTAAGTTGGAATCATATTTTTAAATAAATAATTATATATATATATATATATATATATATATATATATATATATATATAATATTTAGAATCAGTTCATAGAGACCGGGGATATCTATCATATCAATTTAAAATATATTATGTATCTATATAGTTGCTATCTATTGATATTAAGAACATATTCTATATATATATATAACTATATATGATATAGCAATATTTATTGCTCGCCACCTGATAGTCTGAAATCCCCACCTGTACTCTATTTCGCTGTGTGTTTTTAAATATCTTTATTCATCTTTTCTATAATTTCTATCTATCTATCTATCTATCTCGATTCAAAATACCTCCATCCCCCTGTTTCTTTATCTATCTGTCAATTCATCGTTTTCTGCCTGTATCATATATTTATTGTTCTATATATCTGTTCATATCATTTTAATCATTCTTTTTCATTTTCTCCTTTAGAATGATTAATTTAAAAACAGAAATTTAAAAGCAAAAACATAGAAAACAACAAACATATCTCTTTTTCTCTCTCTTCTCTGATCTCTCTTTTCTCATATATATAAAATATATGTTATTTAAAAAATTAATTTTATTATCTACTCTCTCTCTTTCTGTTTAACTGTTTATTTATTTTATTTTAATTTATTATATTTATCTTTACAATTTTTTTAAAATTTTTTTATTGTCGAAGTTCATGATCTCTTTAAAAAAAAATTTATCCAAAATTCTGGTATAAAATTTATCTATCTATCTTTATATATATATATATTTATATATATCTATATATATATTTTTTTTTAAATATGGATATATAAATTCCCAAACGTGTTTCTAATGTTTATCATGGAAATTGTTTCACCTGCAATAACCTTTTGACTTCTGGTAATGCCAATTGAATATAATCATGGTTTTTTTTGCAAATTTTCCGGCTTTCATAGATAATATATATTTATATAGAAAAATATATATATATAAAATCCATTTTGGGCGTGTGAGAAAAGACGAATTTAAAAGAAAGATGACAGGCTATTTATCTGGACAAGGTTTTTTTAAATATATATCTGATTTATGGATAATTCATTCAGAATATTGAGTCATTACACTAAAATTAAATTAGCTATTGAAAGATCAAATTTTTATGAAATAATCAAAACAAGATGTTACTTTTTATAGAAAGAATATAAACCTTATGGGGTGGGCCGAAAATTACATATAAATAAATATCTGTTTGCTTAAGCGGGAGGAGAATGATTGACTAGGATGTCGAAAGTTATATAAAAAAATGGGACGAACATAATTAATTTAAACAATCGAAATAAAAGATGAGGACGAAGGAATTTATAATATGAAAAATTTAATTTCCAATAATATTAAATGCGTCTTTTAAGAATCTAAGTATATTCTTGTACCCGGAAACGAATAAAACAGCATATTGAATCATCAGTTATTAGATCTGAGAATATATAAAAGAGAAGGTTCAGTGTCGTACTAGGATTTTTTTTACTCATCAGGCATTTAGCCGATAGATATATATATATAGAGGATATTTATAGAAGAATATACATTTGGAGGAAATGACATGAGGAGGAGGAGAGGATATAGAAGATGAAATATAGAATGAAAAATAGTAACGAAGCAATACTTTATGGATTTTAATTAGGAATATCAAAGGAAGAAGAGGGGAAGAGAACTGAATTAGGAGTGATTAAATTACTAAATCTAAATTTAATTTAAAAGTTTTCTTATTTTTAATAGGATGTTTTATTGAAATTACAAAGGAGAAAAAAAAAATATTTTAGTATATTTGGATAATGTTATAACAAATAATTAGTTATGGGAAGGATTTAAGGAAAGTAAGATAAAATTTAGTTCATGATTTAAGATAATGATCATTAAAACTGAAACAGGAAGATTTTTTATATCGTAAAAAGCTTAACAATTTTATTTTAAAACATAAAAATTTCTGTTTTTCTCAATATATACTTATCATATTAACCATAATATTTATATAAAATATAATAATATAAAGAATAGATTTTTAAGAAAAAGGCAAAAAAAAAAAAAATTTATAAATTAATACAGTAAGATATAAATATATATGATATTACAGATAAATGAATGTGATAAATGTATGTAAGTGTTTTCTTCAACATTTTAGATTGAATTTTATCCATTGGCATCTTATTCGAAATACAAATGTCAAGTTAACCAAAAATAGAATAAAAAAAAAAATCTCCCTTTCTTGAAAATGACTTTTTTAACCAATTTGAGTATGACATCAGACTAAGAACTCGAGTCATATTCTTGAAAAATCGTCAGATAGAGTCAAATTTGGCGTCTTCATGCACAGTAGAACATATTGTTCTTCTTTTCTTATTTACAACTATATATCAAATGAATTGTAGAAAATTGCTTCGTTCAAACGCGAAACAATGAAAAAAAATAAAAAATTCTGAAATATTTTTTTTTTGGATTTATTTCAGTGTCTTTAAATTTTTAAAAAAAAAAAAAAAGTACAGAAAGACAGAAACATTCAAATGTTTAAAGTATTATAGAGAGAATAATGAACAAATCTTAGATATTGTTTTAAAACATATTTAATCTTAAAAATAAAATTTTAAAGTCAAATGTTGTTAACCATTAAAAGTTTCTGGGAAGATGTCCGCAAAAAAAAAAAAAAAAAAAAGGTTTGATCTGTAAATTTCGTGACAACATTAGAGGAATATAAACTATTCATATGAATTGGTTTTCTTTAAAAAAAAAAAATGGCAATTAACGTTTGATAAATTTCCAAATATTTATTTTCTATCTATTACAGTTCTTCATATCTATCTAAATATCTCTGTCTGTTCAAAAATATCTATCTAAATAAGTATTTTTTTAATCTGTTAGTTTACAAGTTCATATTTGAACTGACTCAATGCAATATCTATCTAGTCTGTTCTTTATATTATCTATATATATTATATATAATATATTTATATATATATATATATATTTATAAAATTTGATTGAACATATAGACAAAGATACAAACACATAAAGATCGTGGATATATAATCCAAAAAAAATCAATTTTGATCCTTTATATTCAAATATTAAAACTGATTCACTAAAATAGGCCTCAATGTATTTATTATAACTTTTTTATCACATTTTTTTCGAGAATGACAACAAATTTTATTTATTTATTAGACTGAGTAGTGAATTTCATTTAATATTTTTCTTGTTAATTGCCAGAAAAAGAGATGGTCTGGTGCATTTCGTTTTAAATATTTTCATGGTTTTTGTTCTAGGTCATTACGTTGAACCAAATTTAAACTTTATGAAAATTATATATATATATATATATATTTACAGCTGAGTAACCCTAATCAGATTTTTGTTCATCTTTTTCAGGAACTTATTTCTGATCTAATCTTTCTATCTCAATTTTATCTCTATTTATCTACCTATGCAATCTATCGATTTCAGTCTGTATATCATCTATCTATCTATCTATCTATCTAAGAATCTATCTACGAAACGGAATTTAGTTGAGGGAGACAATTTAGGTTAGTGTTTTTACCTGACCGCCCTGACAAATTTTATCTATGTTCTATTCTATCTATTTGAATTCTATTTCAGTAATTGATCTCTTTTACGTTACATTAAAATTTTTTTTTAGAATCTAATTTTTTCTATCTTGTCCCATAGTTTCTATCTCATTAATTTTTTATCTAAGTTTTCCATTTTGAATATTTCATTTATTTTTTGTCTATTTAAATTTAAAATGAATCTAACTCTTTGAAAAAATTCCATGCCACCTAAATTTTCAAAATTTAAACGAAAGATGAAGTTACCATCTAAGATTACATCTTGATTATAATTTCTTTATTTGTCTCTTAAACTAAAAAAAATTTAATTAGAATATTTAGTGGCAAATCATCATTATTTAGATGAATTAAAAATATTAATTTAGGTTTTTGTCAAACAAGAACTTCTTTTAAAATGCTCTCAACCAACAATAAAAGACTGTAATTATTATAGATTGAAAATAATTAGCTAAAATTGAAGGAGGAAAATATTTGTTTTTATTAATTCAGAAAACTTTTCTATGACAATGAACGAGATATAATATTTAAATAATTATCTCAACACAAAAGATTGTTTTAACAAAACAACACAAAACACAGCATCAATTGAATGATTCTGAAATATAATTTGATTTAAAAATATTATTTAATTGCATATAATATTATATATATATAAATATATATCTAAACAAATTTTCCTTTTTGCTGAATATTGCCGGAACGACATTTTTTTAATATTCAGTAAAACTCTTGATTTTTAAATAAATTGGAATTTTATAAAACACTAGTCTGTTTCCCAACAAGCGATGTTAGGAGTAAAGACTTCGAACACCATTATTAAGAATGGTTGTATACGTTTCAGCAGTCCTTTTGATACAAATTGGCTGAAATCGTTTGCAAGATCGTCATATACCTTGTGATACATGGGGTTCAGGGAAATTAAAAACCAACGATCCAAAATAGATAGATTTTTTTACTAAACCACTAAATTCATAAATTTTTATTAATTTCTTATAAGTAACATAAATGTTTATATCCGTTTATTCATTTAAGATAAATAATTTTTTGGCATATCTTTTAATTGAATTCTTTTTTCACATAAAATAGATTTTAAAATATTTAAATTATTCGTTGATTTGATAAATTGTTCTTTTTTAATTGTTTAGAATGGACAACAAGGTTTTTTTTCAATCTTTCAAACGGTCATTTTCAGCCTGTGTTCATGAGATTGATAATAAAAATACTAGGGAGATTGTTATACCGGAACATACCTATTCTATTGTTAATAGACTCTCCCACATATAATAAGTAGTAGTAGTAGCAGTGGCGAGGGGGGGTCAGTGGAGTTGGTGAGTCAGTCGATGTTGGACTTTAAAGTATCAACCACCACAACTAGATTGCTGCGTCATTAACTATTATTTTCAAGTTCCTAACGTTTTGTACGTCGGACCTAATTTAGGACCGACTTAGTGAAATACAAGCCTCCACTGTGAAAACTACTCTACAACAGAGAGCAGACCCCGATTTCCTTCATACAGAACCTTCTGTTTCATATCTTAAACCAATTCGCTTCACAGTTGACGGAGATATTTCAACATTTTCTTTCTTTAAAAGATCAAAAATGTCGTTGTAAGACAAATTTGGCTGTCTTAATCTTGCATTTCTGTTTGTTGTTGTTGTTGTTGTTATTTTTTGGTAGGGTGGGATTTGCTTTCTCGTCAAAATGATTTCCTTCTTTATCTGGGAGCCATTTTAAATTAGAAAATATTATATGATGTAAAGTTATTAATCAGAAAAATAAAAATTATCTCGTGATGTTCACTTATTACATGCAAAAATACGTTATATCTATTTTTTGTTTCTTATTAATTTAAATGTCTTTTTTAAGAAGGAGGTATCTATCTAATTTCTTTTTCATATCTATATATCTAACTCAGTCTGTCCTTATCTATCTATCTATCTATCTATCTATCTCAGTAAACTCATATCTATCTAAGTCTCTATCTATCGCATTATTTTTTTATCTATTTCAGTTACCTCATATTAATCAATCTATCTCAGTCTGTTCATATCTCTCTCTATCTCTCTCTATATCTATCTATCTATCTATCTATTTCTCTACCTATATATCTATCGATTTCAGTCTGTTCATATCTATCTATCTATCTATCTATCTATCTATCTATCTATCTATTCCAGTCTATCTCTATTTATTTACCTATATATATATATATATATATATATCAATTTCAGTCCATTCATATCTATCTATCTATCTATCTATCTATCTATCTATCTATCTATTCCAGTCTATCTCTATTTATCTACCTATATATATATATATCAATTTCAGTCTATTCATATCTATCTATCTATGTATCTATTTCAGTCTATCACTATTTATCTACCTATGCATCTATCGATTTCAGTCTGGTCATATCTATATATCTATCTATATTTATCTACCTATATATCTATCAATTTCAGTCTACTCGTATCTATCTATCTATCTATCTATTTCAGTCTATCTCTATTTATCTACATATGCATCTATCGATTTCAGTCTGTTCATATCTATCTATCTATCTATATCTATTTCAGCCTATCTATCTATTTTAGTCTATCTCTATTTATCTACCTATGTATCTATCGATTACAATCTGTTCATATCTAACTATCTATTTATCTATCTATTCCAGTCTATCTCTATTTATCTACTTATATATCTATTAATTTCAGTCTATTCATATCTATCTATCTATCTATCTATCTATTTCAGTCTATCTCTATTTATCTACCTATATATCTATCAATTTCAGTCTGGTCATATCTATCTATCTATCTATCTATTTATCTACCTATTCATCTGTCGATTTCAGTCTGTTCATATCTATCTATCTATCTATCTATCTATTTTAGTCTATCTCTATTTATCTTCCTATGTATCTAACGATTACAACCTGTTCATATCTATCTTATCTATCTATCTATCTATATACATATATATGATTAATAAACAATAAAATCCCAAATCACCTCATATGGGAAATAGCCTATTATAGATAAGTTTAAAGTACGTTTAATAGTAAAACCACAGGAGTTTGAGCCGGTCAGCACATGATTCTCACATACTGAGTTTTCCTCTACCCTTGCTGCTTATTCGTTTATATAATCTATGCCTTAGCTTTGCTAAATATGATGTCATTTACATATCACTGAAGTATATATAGGTTTGTTCTTTCATTAAATGTTTATTTTATTTAGGTCAACCGTCGATGTGCTAACAATTATCACCGAAATTTATTAATTATCACAGATTTTAGATAAGAGCGGAGAGGCTCGGGCTGTGGCTTTAGATAACTCGGGGCCGTTTAATGGATTAATAATAAAGTTTTTATATGCCTTTAATTAAAATTAAATGTTATTTTATTGAAAGGTAATATAAAGTTTTATCTGACAAGAATTGCTTGTTTAAAATATGCATATATCCATTTGTTATTTAATTTAATATTTATTTCTATATTTCTTCTTTGTAAACAGATTAAAATATTTCTTTTTTGTAAACAGATTAAAATATTTCTTCTTTGTAAACAGATTAAAATATTTCTTTGTAAACAGATTAAAATATTTCTTTTTTTGTAAAGAGATTAAAATATTTCTTCTTTGTAAACAGGTTAAAATATTTCTTCTTTGTAAACAGGTTAAAATATTTCTTCTTTGTAAACAGATTAAAATATTTCTTCTTTGTAAAAGAGATTAAAATATTCTTTGTAACGAGATTAAAATACTTCTTTGCAAACAGATTAAAATAGTTCTTTGTAAGCAGATTAAAATATTTCTTCTTTGAAAACTCATTAAAATATTTCTTCTTTGTAAAGAGATTAAAATATTTCTTCTTTGTAAAGAGATTAAAATATTTCTTCTTTGTATACAGATTAAAAATATCTATTTAGCCAAACAAACGTTATTGCTTGTTTAAAATAATTTCTTAAAAGAAACCACATAAAAATGAATTTACCCGCCAGTTCTTCATTTAAAATAAATATTTCTGTAAAATACAAAAAGTCTGTTTCTGTACCGTAGAAGGAGGCCATAGTTTCAAATCCCATCTGTGATTTCTTCTATAATCTCCAAACTAGATTTCCGAAAAGTCTTGCGGACTTGACGGTATCTTGTTCTCTCCAAATTCTGCAGTAACTTGTTTCTGGCTTTCTAGCTTGTTGGAAATTTTCTGTAGTTCCTGTCTTTAAGAATTCTGGTGAAACTTCTGGCCGCTTGAATTATCATCCTCTTAGCAGTGTGACCTCTACAGGCTTCAATCAACTCTGAACTGGCCTAAACATCTGACATCACACACCCATCTTTCAGATAAGCAATATGGCTTCCGTTTATTTGTCAAGCGCCGTGTAAGCTGTTATCATTCAATTTGTCCATCAGGCTATGAGTAAGAACGGCGAAGCTCGGGATGTGGCTTTAGATATCTCGAAGGCGTTAGACGTATTGAAATTGAAAACGATTAATTAGATAGATTTTAAAGCAATAGCTAGATAGATACCAAAATATGTTATACATGACGTTAAAAATAATGAAATAGATTTATTATTAAAAAAATTTAAAGGTTTATTTTTTAGCGGATAAAAAATAATAATCGATTAATAAGTTGTTCATATCTATCTATCTACCTTTGTTCATATCTATCTATTTTAGTTTTAAAAAAAAATTTCAAATCTCCTATCTATCTATCTACCTTTGTTCATATTTATGAATGAAAGATTTATCTAATCTGTTCATATCTATCTATCTACCTTTGTTCATATCTATCTATTTATCGTAAAAAAATATCTCGATAAATGTCGTTCATATATAAAATCTCAGTCTGCTCATGTTTATATCTCTCTTTCTCTTAATTATATATATATATATATATATATATATATATATACAATAAAAAAAAAATATACATGCATCAACACACACACACAAATTATATATATGTATATATATATATATATTATATATATATATATATATATATATATATATATATATATATTCAACCATTAACTTTCCATTTGTGGCTAATCAGTTACTTGATTTTAAGCCCAAATTCATCAAAAAAAGGTGCCATGGTTCCATTAAATAAAATACTTTCGATCTTAGGAAGGTCATGGAAAAAAAAAAAAAAAAAACAAACTTATTTAACAGCGATAAAATCTTCATTTTTTTTAAAATGGGGATTTGGAAAAAAAAATGAAACACGATCTGCAATTATTCTAAAATTTCAAATTTATCCGTTTTGGAATTGTTTGCAAAACAAATTTTTTCAATACAGAGATTGGTGACCAGAAATTGGTAGAAAATAATTTTAGCATATTGTTTAGTAAACATTGTTTCAAAAAAATGAAAAAAAAAAAAATTTTTTTTTTATTGAATGGATAGAATAGATTTAGATAGATAGATGAATCAAATATTAGAATAGATTGATATTGAAAGGTGAGATAGATAGATTAATGAATAGATGAATAGATAGATAGATAGATGAATAAATGAAAAAATATTTAAAGTTCATAATAAGATAATTTAAAATTAAAATTTGTATTTTAGCGGATACCCAAATTAAATGTACCTCCGTATTATTTTAAACTTTATATTGCTTATGTCGGATTAAAAAAAAAACACATTCCCTATTTTCTCTTGGTTCAGTTTTTTAATTAAACATGCCTTTTTGTTTTTAAAAAAATGTGTTAAGTCTTTTTTTTTTTTATCCGCGATTATAATTTTATATATATATATATATATATATATATATATATATATATATACAAGATAGAAAAATAATGAGATAGAGATAAAAAGAATGTAATGGATTCTTTTTAAAAAAAAAAAAGAAAGACAATAATGATAGATAGAAGAAATAATGAATGAAAATGAAGATAGATAGAAAAAAAACTATGAATGAATGAATGAAAGAAAATAAATGATAGATAGATAGATAGAATATGAATAGATAATAGATAGATAGATATATTGGTTAAACTGATTCTCTTGTAATTACGCTGTTTTATTACCAAAAATATTATCAATGTCACTTGACTAAAATGTGACCTTTCGATAACCGATTTGCTCTGCGCGACTTTCTTCTTCTTCTTCTTCTTCTTCTTCTTTTTCTTTATCTTCTTCTTCTTCATCGCTAGTGTAGCCCGCTTTTCGTATCCAAGGCAGCAGCACAATGCGATGACGCCTCCCTCAAATGACGTCATTCCCAGATGACGTCACAACTCCCGGGGCAGATAGAAAGGAATGTTTACACTTCTGTACGCAAAAAGCCCTTCGGATGAGTTTTAATCTCTGATAAAATAAAAAATTAAAAAATAAAAATAAAAGACTGCACTTCTTCCGGCAGTAGCGATGCGAAGTTTTGCCTGCGTCCAAGACTAACATGAAATCGATATGTACACTGTACAGTACCTTTGCAGATATTTGTAATAAACGCATGCTTTTTCGAGGACATTCCAAAAGCAGACATGGCAAACTTGGACCTTCGACCTCCATCCCCATCCGCAAAAATGCGATGTGTCAAAATGACGTTTTTTTTCTTCCCTAGATTCCGCTATTGTTTTAACTCTATTCATTCCTCACCAATATTTATTGTTTTAGGAAGCGATGATTAAAATTGTAATAAAACCTAACATTATTATGAAAGTGGATTTCTATATTTATATATTTTCATCGTTTCTAAGAATAAAAATAATAAACACTACGTTTATTTACACTATTTATTTGTGATATTTTTCATTGGAATAGCTGGCATAACCTCAGACAATTAGTAACTGATTCAAACTTTAGAAAATCGTAAATAATAACGATTTCCTTATACATTATTCGGACAATTGCCCTCATGTTTGTCGCCATATTTATTACAACGTTTCAGCCGTTGTACAACCTGCCTTTTAAAGGTGCTTCAAATATCGAACTGAACCCTTTATTTCGCTCACTGGGTTAGACTAATTTAAGAAAAAACGTGCCATTGTTTTAATGGATGTCATTTATCAGTTATCTCCTGTTAATTTCCTCTGAAAGTTCTCCACATTAGTTGACTTGTAACTGAGTGAAAATGTATCAGAAGGTAATTTATGTAAAGCAAAGTTTATGCGTACTTATTATGCATTATCCCATAACACGTAGATCAAATAATGAACATAAGGTCAATTTGCATTACAAGAAATTACTAAAAACACAATGGTTAGAGATCCAACAATAAAGAGATTTATATATATACAATAAATATACATGCAAGGATAACAGAATGTTTGTTGATTGTGGCAATTGAGACAAGATTATGAAGAATGTTCATGCAGGAATTTGGTCAATAAAAGTTAATGGTTTTGATTTGTTAATGAAATTAAAATAATTTGGTTTCTGCAAGGAAAAATCTCAAATGTGTTCGTTCAAATATTAGTGTGTATGCGTGTGTTACTTGTTAGTTAGAATTTAAGCTGTGAAGAATTGTTTGCCTTTAACTGTTTGGCTAAATTGATGAATTATACAATTACTGTTTGTGTAGTGAAAACGTTCATTTTTTTAAGTCAATTGTAATTTGATTACCACGCGGACAATGGTCAATTGAGTGCTGTGTTGTGTTTGTTGATAATTTTAAAGTGATGTTGAGTCAGTGGATTGACACGCGTGGATTTTGGTAGCATCTCACGAAACTTGATGACTGACTGACTTGAATTGAGTCATGCGGCTGTTTATATAGACTTTGGTGTCTAAAAATCGGCTCTAGGGAGTTTCGGCGGGAAAAAGGATCTGTTTCGATTTTGCTACAGTTTAGTGTTTCTTAACCAATAGAAGATTGAATTTCCTGAAACGAAGTGGTGATTGGTTAAGGCTTTTTTTTAGGGAAGAATACATCTTTCCGAAACGAATGGAAGGCTAATGTGGAAGATCCCACAAGTTTTTATTACAATTCTAAAAAGGGCTTTTTTTTAACAATAAAACATTACCGAGGAGTGATGGTAGT